AATTTTTAAGTACATATATGATATCAATTTCGCAACCATAGCCCGATTTAAGGCTTGTTGGATCTCATAGGTATAGCATAACTAATTGTGTTATCATAGCATTGTATTTACATTTACATTTACATTGATTTTGATTATTTTAGGATTATAGTATTAATTTTTAATATAAAAATATTAGATCCCTATGATTATTTCTGTTGATTAGAGTGGTGAATTATTTAAAATAAATGTAAGAAAATTTCGTCACTTCAAATTTATCATTTCAAGCTCTCAATTCAAATTGCATTGACACAATGCCAAATCAGTAACCAAATAGATTATAATAATCTAAATAGAGCCCTGAACCCAAACTAGAGGTCTGCAACTAGCAAAATTGAGGCCAGACCCAGTTAGAATTTAGTCGCCTGACTCGGTTTAATTGGTATCCGGCTCGGCCTAACCCGATTTCAATTTTTTATTAAGGTTACCCGGCCCGTCCCTTTAAAATCCGGAATATCCTAAGGAAAAATAACAAATATTGATGAGGATTTCGGTTGTAAGATTTTCTTATTAAAGCAATAAACACAAATTGTGGAAAAGGAAATTGTATTTTTGAATGAATATTTACACTGTAAGTTCTCCCGCGGAACGGCAACCTTGCCATAAATTCATTGACATCTCCTAGCTGCCCTCAAAAAAGTTAATATCCCATCTATTCTTGAAACAGTGGGTCTTTCAACTGAAAAATCCCTACACCGGAAGGCATATCTCTCATTAGGTGGAGGAAAGGCCTCCTTCTGATCTGTGATTAGACTTCTATCAATTTTGCAGCGAGGCTAACCTCTCATTTTCTGCCATCGAAAGGGAGAAGTCTTTAAAAAAACAAATATGCTGGCCTCACAAATACAGTGCTCATACCAAACATTACCAACACCTTAGGCATATTTGGAAAAGAGGCCCCTAACTTTATTAAAATCATAAACAAAAAAAGGTGACAGATTACAGGCAACCCCAACTAAAGATTCGATCTTCATCAGCAGATTTCAACCGAACAGATTCTATTTCCTAAGCTTTCATTCCTCTCTCGGGTGATATGTAGCATTTTTTTAAAGTTCATTTGTTTTTTTTTAAATATGTTTCATTTTATCGTTTATTGTATTTTATTTCTAAATTGAATTGAAACCTTTTTTAAATAAAAATATTCACTTTTAAAAGAAAGCAAAATAAAATATACAAAATTGGGTTTTAGAATATTTTTTTTCAATCTCTATTAAGCAGATATCTAAAAAAAATGGTAATATAAATTTATATAATGTTAGCTAAAAAAAAAAGGTGATCTTGAAAATGTGAGCTAAAAAAGGTACCTTTTAGATTTTTTTTGAGCCTCCTGAGTCCTGAGATTGAGTGATGTCCCTGCCCTAGCAGTGCCATGACTTGACTTTTGACGGCCCCTTAAGTACATGATATACCTAAGCTTATTTGATATCACTTTTTGCAATGAGAACTAAAAGCATATTTACTTTATAAATTTTAATCATGAATGAGTCACGCAAATTAGAAAATAAATATAATTATGTACTAAAATGTTGCAATTTTATTTATCCTCCTCGCCTTTTTATTCGCAAATGAGGAAATTATGATATAATCCTACGACGAGGCGATATCATTTTCTATTGAAATTAAGAAGAGATTAAAAAGTAGATTCTGTGCCATGCGGAATCGTAGATAAGTTTTAGTTAATTTGAGCTTTGAAAAGCTGCGTTCTGCAGATGGCGCGGTAATAAAAATGATTAAAATAATTTTCAATACAATGGATATATTTGATAAAGCTTTATTTAACCAATTAGAGTTAATATAGCGTATAATTTCCAATAGAGTTTTTAATTCAATAAGTAAATCTTGCGGAATACTATCGCATTCTAACGTATCCTAATCTGTTAAATATTTAATGACAAGATTTTTTTTAGCTCGCTTTCAGACACATTTATATTCTGGCATAATAAATATCGATAAGACCACTGCTAGAAACGTTCCTCTAACGAATTTTTCGCTTGATCTAGTAATACATTGGAAAATTCAAGCTCATATTTTTTTGAAGATCGTGTATAGACGACGTGTCATCTCCTTCGTAAGAAAATTGTTTTTGAACTTTCAGTCTAAGAATTAATGTCTTCTAAACTCATTTCCAATTCCCAAAGTTCTTTCGCCAAGTCAAGGGAATTCTGAAAACCGTTTTCCTTGTAGAAATTTATGCGCACTTTATCAGTCTAAATGGAAATTGTTTTACATTGGTCAAATGAATGCAGAATTTAGTATCAAAGGGCCTGATACTAGCACATTATATAATATATTTTAAATTAAACACTTAATAATCGAATCAAAATTTTAATTAAAATATACCTCAATAAAGATTAAAGTAATTTAAAGTTACTCATCTGAAATGTATACATATTAAAAGAAGAGTATAGGTTCTAAATCGCGAAAACAAAAATCGCTAAAAATTGGGAACATCGCTTATATAACCTAGAAATCTTTTAAATTAAATTTGAAATTAATATTAATAGATGATAGGGAAGTAGACACTTATATTTAAATTAAGTTTTTCGAATATCACAAAAAATGGAAGAAATATTATCATTGCTTCCAATTTCATTACTAATTTGGGAATCAAATTGGGAATATGGATGATATTTCCTCCATTTCTAGCGAAAAAACTCAATTTAAATACAAGTTTTTACTTCCCTAGCATCTATTAATATTAATTTTAAAAATTTACTTTAAAAATTTTCTAAGAGATATAAGCGAGATTCCCAATTTTTAGCCATTTAGAACCGGAACCAAATGAAGACTAACTTTTTTATTTTAAAATAGACTAATCAGAATATCCAAAAAGTTTCTCATAGTTATTACCGCTATAAAAACAGGACCTTTACGGGAAAATACACCAAATATTTATCAAAATAGTCAGTTAATAAAAATTGTTTTTTAAAAATAAATTTACTATATTTATTTACTTACCGATTATTTTGTTTCTTTGCCAATATTATTAAATTGTTTTTTAAGATGATTTATAAATAGGAAAAAAAAGAAAATTTCAATTTTTGCAATATGAATCAAATTTTTCGTTATAATTTTTCGAAATTCATACTTGAATTTTTTACAAAAATAGAATAATGTGTGTAGTATATAAAAAAAAAATTTATCTTTCAAGAGGCTAAAGATAATTGAGCAAAATTATAAAAATTGGCGACCCCTAAAATTGTCCAATCTCTGCGGCCCGCACTTGCCACCCCCGTTTTCACGTCCTTGTACCCTAGCCTAGAGGTCTGCTTTGAGCAGGGTTTTGGCCCGTCCGCCCATGCCCGCCCATCTAGCCAGTGGGTTAAAAATATTTTTAATCATTTAAGTTAATTTTAATAAAATTTGTTTGTATGAACTTTTTTGGACATTAAAAATTAAAATGTCCCTTTTTGGTATCAAAAAAACTTTTCTTAAAATAAATAAACTTTTTTGTATATTTAAAACGACTTTGGTGGAAATGACAAGAAGGTGATTTGCCAAAGCTATCAAGATTAGCAAGAAAAATATTGACAATTCCTGCAACTAGTGCTTCTTCTGAATGCGGATTTAGCAGTGCTGGACGGTTTTTAGAACAAAGAAGAACGTTTTTGAATCCAGAAAATATCGATTCATTATTATTTTTGAACTATTAATTACATATAATATCAATTTTATATTTATATTATTTTCATAAATATTTTATTTGATCAAATAAATTATCCATAATTTAAATTGAATATTTTTTTATGCTTAATATAGTAATTTTCTAAAATCTTTTTGTAGAGGTGTAATGCTGAATTTTTTTTTTATTAGATGATTACAAAATTGAAAGAATGACCATAATTAAATTTTATAATAGCAGGCTTTTTTCTTTTTTTTTTTAAACTTTATTATTTATTCATAATCATTAAATTACAGAGGATTAAAAAATATATATTAAAATGGATATATTAAAAATTAAATATAAAAATAATAAATATATAATATATATATAATCTATGAAGACATTAAATAGGACTAAAAAAATATATATATTTTAAAAAAAGGGGGTATATATCATCCAAGAGAAGAGTGAATACTTAAAAAATTAGACCGGCAAATTTCCAGGGAAATCTGCTGGCGAAGGTAAAATCCTTCATTGGGGTCCCCTGAGATCTGTCTCATTTTTTTTCCTATGATTTTAATGAAATTGAGGGCCTCGTTTCCAAACATGCATAGGGTATTGGTAACGATAGGAATAAACATTGTGTTGGCGAGGCCAGCGTATTTATTTTTTTTAAGGATTTCTGCCTTTTCGATAGCAGAAAATGAGAGGTTAGACCTGGCTGCAAAATCAACGCAAGTGTAATCCCATGTTAGCGGAAGACCATTAGACCAGGGTATGAGAGAAATACCATCCGGGCGTATGGTGATTCGTTTGAAATACCCACTGGTTCGAGGTTAGATGGGATATTAACTTTTTTGAGGGCGGCTAGTAAAATGTTATTGATAGATTTATGACGAGGTTGTCGTCCACGGGAGAACTTTCAGTGCAAGGGATGGTAAGCTTTCGATTCAATGGGCTGATCACAGTCGATGCAGATGGAGGAAACTACGACATTACAGCGGCTTGGGTTAATATTATTTTATAAATAATGGGTGGGCGGGTAAGGAATTTTAGACTAATGGGGGAGCGAGCAAGTATATTTTTAAAAAACTATGAGCGGGCTGGGCGGGAGAGTTAAATTTATTTAAAACATTGGGAGGGCGAGCTTATGGTCCAAAAACCCACCCAATGCAGATCTCAACCCTAGCCTACATCTCAAAGTATATGGAAGAAATGTTTTTCATAGAAAATCTTCATCTTATGAATATAAATCTACTTAATAAATATATAAAAATAATAATGTTTGCATATTGTATTGTTGTAGTATAATGTTTAGGATAAATAATTCTAAATTATCTATATATTTTTCGGCATACGATATTTCTCTATTTTAACTATTCTATAAAAAATGAGTAAAGATCAAATCGACGAGTGGTACACTTTTGGCTTACATTTAGCTAAAGAAAGTGGAAAGGTTATTTATTTACCATTTTAAATGTTTATAAACAAATTTTACATTGCAATTTGTAAATTTTAATTACAATCTGCATTATTGGCTACTTACTAGGAGAACTCTATATAAAAATACGCTTGTATCTTAAACGCAAAGATTACTGCTATTGATATTTATAAAATATCAGTTGTAAATATTTTAGAAACAATCATTTGCAATCTTCATTTTACACCCAAATAGTTAAATTGGCATTTAAATAAATTATGTAATTATTCAGCATCTATAAACTGAGATTATCTTTTATGCAAACTAGATTTTTTTTTCTATTGATATAAATGATTAAAGCTTATACATTATTCTAAAAAATAAAATTGTAATTCCATGGGATTAGGACAAAGCAATTGACTATTTTTCTTTAACTATATAAATGTGTTTTGCTATTTTATAATTAAAGATTTTAGGCTGGGCTATGCCTAATAATAATAATGGGCTAAATTTGGGCTGGGAATGAGGATTAAAAATTAATAAAAAAATTTGGGCATGTCCCTCTGAGAAAAAATATTGAATTTTCATGTGTAAATAATTTTAATTGATAATTCATAAATATTATAGATTAAACATTTTATAGTTTTTTTAAATTTTACCAGTTTTTTTTAAACATCTGTATGTTTTTTGTAATCATTTGAATAATAAAATTAAGATTTGATTATTCATGTACTTAAATACAATAGCTAATTTAATTGTAAGAAAATTGAAAATAAAAAACAGAAATCAAATATGGAAAATATATTTTCTGAATTTAAAACTAAATAAAATATACAAGTCCATTATATACTATTCTGTTTCTAGGACTTGTAAATAAATGCCTTTTCGTTATATTTAAGTCCAAAAGTTTCTAAAAATCTAATAAAAAAAATCCAGAAAGGCATATATTACTAATTAGAGCTGTGTGTACAAGTTTAGCCCATGTCAGACTAGATTGGGTAAGGCTTTTCAAAAAAATATTCATGCCAAATGGATTTGAACATAATTCTTTTTAAATATTTTTTCTGGATAAACTCAAACATATTTGTTTTTTCTTTATTTGGGTTAGGATTCTGGCATAATTTTTAAAACAAATATTGGGACTGACAGATTTGAACATTTTTAAAAATAAGAATTGGTCATTAAGACTAGTAAATATTTTTTTAAAAAAAATATGCTAGACTACAGACTTGGGCATAAATTTAAAAAAAAATTATTAATTATTTAGTTATAAAATTTAAATTTTAAACCTTATTTTTAAATAGTCTTCAAATATATTTTTATGATTTTTATAATATTGCATTTTTTAAAATAAATTTAATTTTATTTTTTATTCAGGCATGATCTGGTGATTAAAATAAAAAATGATTTTTGTGGGAAATTTGTATTATTAATATTTTAAAAGTTTATAATTTTTTTATAGTTTTATTATTGATTAATTAATTATTATTTTATTGGAAAGCATAAATATAATCATTTCCTTAAAATTGACTTTATTCTTCAATCTTCTCAAATTTCGATAAATAAATTAAAATAATATATTGATAAACGATTAATATACAAAACCAATTTATTATACTTGTAATGTAAATATTTATATTCAGGCCAACCAGCAGCAGACAAAAAATTAAATTTTTGTCTTGACTGGGCAACCTTGATCACAAAAAAATAGACGTCCTTTGCAGGGCTCTAGTACAAATAGTTGCAAAAATTTTTTTTACTATATTGTTTTCCAAAATTTATTTTTAACCATAATAGTTTTTCGGGCTATAGTTGAACTTTATTTATCTTAAAAAACAATGTTAAAAAAAAAATATATCCTTTTGTTAAACTTATTTTATACTAAACTATTTCTGCAAAGTTTCTTTCTTTTTTAGTGAAATGATTTGATATTAAAAAATTTTAGGCACAAATAAATACACTACATTTTAAAAGACATTACTCGAGAAAGAAAAGTTCTATAATATTTACATATTAATTAAATAATATTTATGATCATTATATCTTTTATTTAAATGATTTCTATGCCAATATACAAATTTTTCCTCCATCTCATATTACTACAAAACTGATCCGATAACCGATACCGGTTATATATTTAGATATTCATTTACCACTTATATTTGAACCAATGTCATAAATAAAACCAATTTTAACCAATGATTAAATGAAATTTGCTTTGTTTATCCTCAAAAGTTAATCTCATCTCTTTTAAAATGGATAATATTTATGGCTATATGAATAATATTCGTTAGATATTTTTAAACCCTTTTCTTATGACAGATAATATAACAAAAAATGTTATCTTTTAGTTACCTAGCTATTATTCTTAAAACTATAGTATTTTACACGTTCGATTTGAAAAGGGCAGAATTCGGTTTTGTTTGTATTAAGATTTAGACCGATTGAAGCCCCTTCATCTTTTATCATGATGCATGATCAGTAAAAAATGGAAAAAAGAGGCTGATTAGAAAATTAATAATATAAATTATTTCTTTTTATCATAAGTTATGACTTTTCTCTTATCATATTCATTTATTTTACAATTAAACGTTATCATATTACATTTTTAGCAAATACATTTTATGAGGATTATTATTTAGATATTGCTATTTTATAGGTTTTTTTCAAAAAATATGCCTGCCCGTTTAAATGACAGTCAAGTTTTGATTATGTTATTAATGCTGTTATAAGTAAAATTAGGAATTTAATATTATAAAAGGGAGATAATTAGCAAACTATTAGTTTGCAAATATATAGTACAAGACAGCAGTTGATCTTGGTGAAATAATTCATCTGTCTAAATGAGGTTGCTAAGTCTTTTTCACCTGTCCGCCATGGTGGTAATGTGAAAAAGACCTTAGATAGTCATATAATTAAGAGAGCTGCTCCCGAGAATCATAGAAAATTTAAAAAGTTTTATCCGCTTTGATTTTTTTGAAATAATAGGGCTCTTATTATATCTTTAAGCTAAAAAAAATGAAAATTTAGGAGCTTGTAAAATGATTGAAGATGTCAAGTCTTCTGTATCTTTTATAACTTTCACCTCTGTTGTAATATGTGTAAATTACTTTGAAATAAAATAGAGGAAAAAGAAGTAATATTCAAATCGAAGTAATATTCAAATCGATTGTTAAACAGAAAAACGTAACGAATTATTAGATTTTTTGAATAAAGACGATGTAAATGAATAGGAAAGAAAAGTATATATAATCGGAAATATTTTACTTAAGAAGGATTATGATTTTACGAACTTAATTTTTAATTTAAATTTTTTATATTATTTTAATTTCTTATTTTAGTTATGATTATGTAATTAGTATTTATATTAATTAATAAAGTATTAGTAGTTAATTTATTTATACTATTTATTTTATTCTCTAAATTCTCTCAACCACTATATTTGCGAAACATTATGTTCTATGGGCATATTCAGTCTACTTAAAACACTAAAATTTTACAATGGTGTTGAAGAAAGGAGGCGACAGGGCAATTACAACAATTCAGTCTAATTAACTCTGAAAAGAGATTCTAAATAAAGGGGGAAGGAGATGTATGAAATGACTATCGACACTAAGACAAAGAATGAGAGCAATAAAACAATGTAACAATATTAATGGTCGTAGTTCGTTAAAGAATAAAATTAGTCGTTTAGCTAAAAAGAATTTGTCACAAAAGATCGTAGGGTACAAGTAATCGTTTTATTTAATATTAGGTTGTGGATTAACCAAAAATCTTCATAAAGAGATACGGCTTTTCGTCATTATAAATTTTATGCCGCAATCGAGCTCACGTAGAGATCTAATTTTTATTTGAGATCAAAGGATAAAAGAAATATTTGTCGTATAAGAGATCTTAAGACGAAGTTGATATAGTGACAAGCTACTAGGTAGAACAAGTGGTCAAGACCAGGATGCAATCTTTAATCGTTGACCAATTATCGCCAATTGCTTATCAAAACTTTAGTATAGGATACAAAATCGATGATCCTAAAAACAAGAATTCAGGAAAACAATCGTTAATCGTAGATCAAGCATCGCACATCGTTGACCGAGATAAAGCAATGATCATTAGTTACAAGAGAACGTTAGAAACGAGCAAAAGACCAAATTAATTTATCAGGAGAATTTAAGACGTAGTATCGATAATCGTTGACTAGCAATCTTGTATCGTTTAGTTAATCAAGTTGTCAGGGCTAAGAGCTCATCAATAACAGGCTAAGACAAGAAACAGAATCTATCGGTGATGTAAGTTAGCAAAGGAAATAAAACAGTAATTGGATACATGCTCGAATATTGGTATTTCGCAGGATGTGGGGCCTAATCTAAGTGTAAGGGTGTTGTAATATGTAAATTACTTTGAAATAAAATAGAGGAAAAAGAAGTAATATTCAAATCGAAGTAATATTCAAATCGATTGTTAAACAGAAAAACGTAACGAATTATTAGATTTTTTGAATAAAGACGATGCAAATGAATAAAGAAAAGTATATATAATCGGGAATTTTTTTCTTAAGAAGGATTATGATAATTTTTAATTTAAATTTTTTATATTATTTTAATTTCTTATTTTAGTTATGATTATGTAATTAGTATTTATATTAATTAATAAAGTATTAGTAGTTAATTTATTTATACTATTTATTTTATTCTCTAAATTCTCTCAACCACTATTTGTTGGCCGAAACATTATGTTCTATGGACATATTCAGTCTACTTAAAATACTAAAATTTTACAATCCTCCATTCGAAATAAAGCTATAAAAATGGCTACAAATTTAAATTAAAATATTCCTGATTTAAAGCTGCCAGTTAACATCTGGAAACAAAATGAAGTGCTAAAAACTCAAATAAGTATAACAAGGAGGGTGTATAGTGATGAATGCAATGAAAGGCTCGAAGATTCGATTATTCTCTATATTATTAAACATTTAGTCCTAAAATTGATCAAATTATAAATAGTTTAACAACCATTAAATTTTCGGTGAACAAATAGCTTATAATGAATATGCAATATTTGCAAATTTTTTTACTTATTCAGTGACAAATTACAACATGAATTGTCTTCATTGCCCGTATTTACAAAGGTTTGATAGTCAGGTTATTGAAAATATTTATGATATAATTTGTGTAGTGAGGAGTCTTGTAATATTATAAGATAATGATAAATCCAACCTTAAGTAATCAATACTTAAAATGTATTTGGGATTCTATTATGCTATGATATGCACACAACGAGTTTGGCACACTACATAATAAAATTTAACGGTTATGAAATATAACGGCTAAGTTGTTATCGTCTCTTCAAAAAAAAGCTAATTATGTTATCACTATTTAGAAAATAGTGACAAAAAAGTTCTTCGTTATATGTTTAAAAATAAGAATAGGTGAAAATAGAAAAATTCGACTAAAAATTTTATTGATTCATTTTTCTGCAAAGTTTAAAATAAAAAGTAGTATAATAAAGAAACGAAAACTAATTTATTAATATTTTATTGTCTAATAAATAAAAATCAAATATTATCATTCATTCGATCAAATAAAATAATATTTGTCTCTTGTTTAATCTTTTAAATTTGCAAATCAAAAAGAATACGAGATTGGTAAGTATGTATTGTAATAAATAAATAGTTTATTGGATATTTATGCTGTATATTTATTTCAAATGATGGATCGAGATATAGGATTCTTTCAATTTATCTTCGTACTACAAACTGTGAAAATAAAAAAATTATTTTTATCGGTTTTAGCTCTAAAATATGTTTTTAAATGAAACTTTAAATAATCTATTTTTCGCAATTGTACAAAAAAAATTTTACCAAAATATTCTCGTCATCTTATGCTGAGATAATTGCTTTTTCGATGGCTGTCATTGTTTAAAAAAAATGAAAAGATATATAACTAAATCCCACAATGAAAAGATTTGAAATTGAAATCCTATTAGCATTTCTATTGAATTCTCTTGTTTTTACACAAACCAATATAATGGTTACAGACGCTTTTCGTTATATTTTTAAAATGGGAGATATATATAACTATTTGTAACTTTCAGCCTAACTCTACACAACGGTATTTTTTATTAACATATTAGTTGTGGAAGAACATCATGTAAATTTAAAATTGTAAAATATAGGCTGAGGGAATATGGGACACGATTAATTGGAGATAATTTTATTGATGCCCGTTCAAATAGAAGTGTTTATTCAAATATAACTTGAATATGTGTTTATTTGCTACAAAGTTGAGAGTTAATGCGAGATTTATTAGCTTAAAAATTATATAATATTCGTTTGATTTTATATGTATAAAGTCTTATACTAGGTGCAATATGATATATTGTATGTAGATTTTATAGTGCAATATGTAATACTTTTATGTGTTCAATTATATGATTTTATATGTACAATTCCTAAAATAAAATGTAGGATTATCGTTTAATATGAGTCATTTTTGTAACTCTAATATTGTATTTAACCCATCGTTTTACATTTTTGTCTAAAAATATAAGAAATAATAAAAACATGTATAATATGAATAGCCATTGAAGAGGTCGGCCGAAAGCCGGGTAAAAGTGGACCTCTATGCTGCATGTTTTTGCTATCTCTTCGGGTGATTCACTAATTATTCCCTCATCGATGTTACTACACATGGAGATCAATCTTGCAGTTGATTTTTACTTTGTTTAGTAATGCAATCAAGATCTATACAGAATAAAATTAAACCTAGAGAGCCTCCCTGCTTGATATTTCCAGGTGATAGTTTGGTCCCCAATTTGTAGAAAAGAGAGGTCTTGATAGCAGCGGACCATAATCTTCAAAAAAAATTAAAGTATAAAGAAATAAATGTCTTTATTCAATTTGTTTTTCTTTACACTTTATAGTAAATTAAACTAAATAACTCATATTTAATAACTAATAGTATATTTATTGCTTAAATATTTAGATAAAATTGTCAAACTAATAAAAGATAATATAAAGGAAGTTTTAATTCAACTGATGTTTCGTTTTTCTAAATATCAAATAAATTAATTTTTAAAAGAATTATATTATACTAATAAATTAATTAAAAATTGGAAAAACTTATAAGATAAATTAAATGAATGGGAAAAATATAGCATATCTAGTTCCTTTTTTAAAGTGTGGATTAGAGTAAGAAAAAGATTTTATTTTGGCAATGACGATGCATCATTTTTTAAATTGTTTAGTTTAGTGTTGTTTAAGTGGGGAGTCTTAAAAATCGGCTAAGATCCGAGTCAACCAGATGCTTCGGCTCTCTATAATTAGTTTCTTCTACATAAAAAATTATGGTAGAACCAACTTCTTATCACCCAGGATTCCTTCCTGATATTAAAAATTTGGACTCATCTAATCGTATTAGTTGAAACATTTTAATATGCCAAACCGAGCCGATTCATTGGATGGTCTTTCATGTCGGGTCTTTTTTTGGATTCAGACCCTACCCGATTTACGGTTAGCTAACTCGACTTACCGATTTAATAGTAGCAGTTATAGATATCTCTTCGTTTGATTATAAATTTAAAAAATAATTGCTCTTCCCAATAATTTAATTTATTAAATTGTTATTTATTATGTAAGTTGACGAAGTTGTTAGTTCTATTCTTTATTATTATTTTTAATTGAAGATGATGCTTGATGCATTTCACAAAGAAAAAACGATAAATACAAAACAAACCTTCGCAGATTTGGTCACTGAAACTGACAAAGCTATCGAAAAATTCATTTTTGACAATATCCGTCAGAAATATAAAGATCACGTGTAATGATTTTAAATCCACTTATAAGAAAATCCCTGCATTATATATATTTTCCCAATCAATCCATCCCGTTGTTTTTAGAAAATACGATCCGGCTTGAGCTATTGATTTTAGAAATAGATCCCACTTAAATTAAAGACCGATTCAATAAAAAAAAAATATAGAAGTCAGGGATATATATTGTTCAAATAAACTATAAGTACTCGAGAAAAATGAAAAATTATAATTTTTAATTTAAAAAAGTTCAAGTGTGTAGGAGAATCTTTGTCCATGCCGAATAACATTTTCAAAAACAGTTCGGCGGGACCATGGCAGAGCTCTAGTGATTAATCATTTTACATATTAATGGCCTTAAAAAAACATTTGAGTCTCAAACATTTTTATTTCTGAAATTAGATGTATAGGAGAAGAGAGTGAGGAGAGGCCGCCATGGAATAATAGCCCTACCTGGATTGTTGATCCTATCGATGGAACCACCAATTTTATTCATCAGTTCCCTAATTGTGCCGTGAGTATTGGTGTGTCCTATGATAAAAAGGTTTTTTTCCTTTTGTTTTCAAAAATTGATATATTGATTTTAACTACTTTAATTATTACAATAAATTTTTTATTTAAAAAAAATAAATATTAATAGATAGTAATTGGAATTATATATAACCCAATGCAAAATCTCCTTTACACCGCTAAGAAAGGGCAAGGCGCTTTCTGCAATCAAAAGAAAATATTTTCTTCCAAAGTTACAGGTGGATTATTGTTTATATTATTGAGGTAGGTTGATACTGAAGAATTTAATAGATAATGTTAGATAGATGTTTTTATCTTAAATATGGCAGGTTTATATATATTTTGTAAAATAACTTTTATATCTATCCGATATATTAATAAAATACTATTTTTAAAAAAATTATTTTAATTTAGACTTTCATTTTTTTATATCTGGTTTTATGATTTCTATGATATAATTTATAGCTAGACTAATAATTAAAAATTAAACTCTTTTTCATTCTTCCTGTAAATTAGGCTTTTAAATCAATTTCCCTGTCACGTCAATGTCGGGAAATATACTTAAAATTTAACTCATATTTGTTGGCGTTCTTTTTGTTCATGAATTCACCAATATAGACTACCGCTTGAAATACGATTATTTAAAAAGTGACGCAACAAAAACTCACAATTTGGAATTTCCGACTTTCAAAAAGAAGTTTTTGACAATTTGTAACTTCCAAACATATGATTTATATTTTTCTTTAGTATAATATAAAAATAATAACTTGTTCACTTACATATGAAACGATTTAATCTTTAATGAAAATCAAATATTTTGATATTAAAAAAATTGTAAAATATGGCGTGTTTGGAAGTATATATTATTTTTTGGTTTTTCTCTATTGGAAAAACATCTTGTTTGAAAAGACGTATGGACTTATTATTAACACCTTAAGGCTAAAATATTATATAACCGCAGGCATCTTAAAGCTTTATATGATGTGGAAGCAGATGTGTAACCATTCCTTGGTACTCCCATGTAATAATTCGTAGACATTTGAACGCAACGATGAGAAATCTCTCAGAATATATTCTTCTACCACATGTAGCTCCATCTTTAACTTCTGATATGCACACGTTGGTTTACCCCACGGCCTTTTTTTCCACCAAATACCATTTTACTCATATATAATCTCCCTATCTTTAAATATCACCTCCCATTTCCCACGTCATGGTTCTCTCCCTATTCGTACCCACCAACGTCTTCGGATCATTCACTTCCTTTTGATCCTTTTCTTGCCCCCCCCCCCAAGATATTTCCCCAAAAATCAGAGGCTTCCCCAAAATATAAAACTTATTAATTTATTTAAATACAAAATAAAAGTAGCACGATTTGAATTAACTCTTCAGCATACTGTTATTAAGTGGCTCGATTTGAGCTAAATTTTAAAAATGGCTAGCTAAATATTTCAGCCAGAAAAATATTGGCTAGGCCTTGAGATTTTACTAATACATGTCTAAACTTTTGTATCTGTGAGCAAAATCTTCCGGGTCGCGTAATATTTTTCTGGATAAAATATTGAGTTAGCCGTTTTTAAAAATCGGCTCTGGAGCCATTTAACAACAGTATCAGCACATCTATTAAATTGTTTATTTACTATAAATTAATGCCTATAGCTACGGGAGAGTCAAACTGGGAATCTGACGAAAAGATTTTAGCCCAAATTTAAATTTCTATTTTTTTCATCTGGGCATAAGCGATTTGTTAATAAGAAATTAATTACTTGTATTATCATTTGCGATATTCTGTTATCGATATCTATTAAATACATTTAATGATTCAAAATTATTGTAACGTTATAATTCTTAATTTCTTTAAATTTAGCCAATGTATTTATAATTTTAGCGCTTTAATTTAGCCAGAAATTCACTAATATTAAACTTGAGTGGATATATATTCATGTGAGACAATACATTACACCAGGCGCGTAACCAATGGGGGGGGGGGAAATCCCCCCATCGCAAATTTGACTGTTTTCATAAATATCATTTTAAGCTAATATAAATTTTACCCTCCACCCCCCCCCCCCCCATCAAAATTTTACAAATATTTGAATAACAATTTCCCAACATAAAACTTTATAAATAAATTTTATTAAAATTTCCTTTCCTTGTGAGTACATTAACATTATTCAAAAATATTAATAAAATGGAAAAATTTTAAGTCAAAAAGATTGAAATCAAATGGTAATTTATTTTATTATTATATATAATTATTTTATTAAATTCAAAATTATTAGTAAGTTAGAATTAATAAGTATTTTTAATATTAATTATTAATAAATATCTATAATTTTTTTAAATATTTTATTTTTACTTCAATTTTGTAGAACAGAAGAAATAGAAATACAAAAGTTAAATAAGGCTGAGCATGAAAAATAGTAATGTGTCGTCAGAAGCGATATCATTATTGAATTCAATTGATCAATCAGAGTTTATCATTGCTGCTAGTTGCATCAATAAATTATTTTCCTATAGCTCACTACTTTGTAGAAATTTACAAAAATCAAATTTAGATTTGGTTCAGGTTATTGATTTGGCGGAAAATATATATGAACAGTAGATACAATAAGAATGAATGTAGATGAATATTTTCATAATACTTATATAGACGTTGAATCGAAGGCTCAATTTTATGATATAACACTAATTAAACCTCGTCTAGCACCTGGGCAATTATTGAGATGTAAAATAAATATTGGCTCAACTGAAGAATATTATAAAATATCCACTTTCATCCCATTCTTAGATACTTTTTTATCTCAAATAAAAGAACGGTTTTTAGATAAAAAACAAGTCTTTAGCAATCTTCAAGTTTTAATACCCAAAGATCCATCTTCGTTTTCTAATGCCACTATTGGTAAAATTAAATATTTATAAAATTTTATTCGTATGAAATTTAATCAGTGAATTCGAATTGTGGTATAAATATTTACTAAGTTTAGCTATTTTACTTGAGCATGCTATTGATGCGCTCAATCGGTTTAAAGAAACCTTGGCTCAAATTCCTAATATTTTGAAGTTGTTTTATATTCTACCATGTTTACCTATTATAACATGTACGAATGAAAGGACTTTCCAACTTAAGAAGGTTGAAAACATATTTATGAAGTAATACTTCCGAATCTCGGCTAAATGGGTTAGCTCTGTTAAATATCCAGAGATTTGGTTCCAACGACAAACAAAATTCTTGATGAATTGGCAACATTCTCACGAAAATTAAAAATCACATTATAATTATAGTTTTTAATAAAAATATTTGTATAATATTGTATTTGATAAGAAGTTTAGAAAAACTTGTTTTTTAAATTATTTTCTAGTCAATATTTTAGTGTTGTTAAACGCCTCGTGAGCCGATTTTTAAAAACGGCTAACTCAGTTATTTATCCAGAAAAATATTATGCAAGCCTGAAAATTTTGCTCATAGAAGGAGCAAAGGTCTAGACATATAGTATCGAAATTTCGAGGCTTAGTTAATATTTTTCTGGCGAAAATATTGAGTTAGCCGGTTTTAAAAATCGGCTCAAAACGAGCCGTTTAACAACATTAAAATTTTATACACATTACTATTAGTATTTTCAATAAAAAAATTATATTATACTTATATTGTATGAGAATTTAAGCTGAGGCTAGTTTTTAAAGCAAATTTTATTAAAAAAATGACAAACTTTATTTCAACTTTACATTTAAAAAACTTTATTAAATATAATATACCACCTAACTAAAAATAATAAAAAATAGGCTTGTGATATCCATTAGCACGAATTAGTAAATAATAGTTACAAATAGAAATATAATTATTATTAAATTAAATTATGAATAATTTAATGGAATAGCTAAAACATAAGACCCAGCCGAAGGCCATTTAAGGGGGTTTGGGGGTAAAGCCTTCCAAAAAAATCCCCCCCCCCCATCATAAGAAAATCCTGGATACGGCACTGCATTACACTCAAATGGGTACCATCTAGTACAGGATAATCGAAAGCAAAATTTAGTATTATTTACGGGAAAAAATACATCAGAAAATTCGATTAAAACTCGTCTTCAAATTTGTTTATTTTTCATAAAAGAAATCTAAGTGATATTAAATTGATTACTATATATATAAGTAAAATTTGGCCTAATTTATAAAATCATATAATGGAGCGTTTGATATTCATGCGCATATTTTCAATTTACAAAATAAAGAATATTGAAAATTTTTAAAATTCTGGACCTGTCAAAAAAAATGATTACAAATTCTAGCCTGAAAAAATTACCAAAAATAATCCACACTTTGATTTTTTCTTTTCAAATCCATGCTGAGCCTAAAATAATGATCTCTGATATTGAAAAATGCCCCTCCACCCCTCGAAGTTATAGCTATGGACTTGTATATATATGGTAAAATTTATTACAATGGATAATTCATCGATAGATAAGAATGCATAATATTAACGCATTTCATTTAAGTCAAAACTCGATTTAAATACAGCCTGATTTGAACCAGCACTAACGACATGCTTTATATTCTTAACTTTAGAACCCTCCTATTATTCATCTTTAAAAATCTAACTTTATTTTTGGCCTAATTTTTTAAATATACAGACTGAGAATTTTTATTAAAATACCTGGGCTGGGCCGTATATTTTAAATCGCCATTATTAGCTATAGAAATTAAAAATAAATAAAATATATTTTTTAAAAAAAATCGAAGGCTTGAAAATTTTTTTAAAAAATCCGGGCCAGGCCTGAAAATATAAAACCCATACCAGGCAGAAAATTTTTTTAAAAAAAATTCAGGCCGGGCATTTTTGTTTCTACTTATAATTTATATTTCATTTTTATTATATTTTACAATGAAAAAATATTAATTTTTTTGAAATATTGGATTCTTGCATTTTTCCCAAAAATATATAAGACTAGAGAAGATCAAAATTTCAGTATGGACCAATTTAAAAAACAATCCTTTCTGTCCAGATCGTTAAAAAAATTTAAAGGTTAAATATTTTATAAAAATCAGGACAACTGAACCAGGCCTTTTATATAAAATATAGACTTCAAAAATTGTTATTTTATTTTAACAAGATTAAAAAAAAATTTGGATTTTTAGTAAATCATTTTTATTATATTTTATGTAAAAATTTTACTGCTAGTTTGTAAAATTTTTGTTAGTTATAAATAATTTCTAACATGGATTTTAGGAATATTTATTGGGGCAATTCATTCATAAAAAAATAAAAAATGAGGCAAAGCTTTACAATATGATTTTTCATATTTTAATGCCATCCTTGACATTAGTCATCTAAAAACCCAACTCAGACTGCGTTTTAACAATCCTAATTCAAAAATTAAATTTCTATTTGTTATTTATATAAGCTATATCCAGACCTAGCATTGATTTTCGAACCAGGATTTTAGATTTCACACTAGACCAGACTTTACAAATTTTTTTATTTGCCGTTTTTCACAAAAATACTCACCTTTCAAAATAAAACCCATTTAAGCAAGAGATATTCATATTATTAGAAGCTTTTTTTAGCAATCATACTTGAATGGCACAAGTTACAAGTACATTTTACTTACAATTTCAAATACCTATTATATCTTAAAAGGCCCTTATTATATTATAAAATAATTTTACAATTTTTTAAAAAAATTTGCCAGACTGGTACTATTAATAATTATTGGGCTGGGTAGATCTTACTAAAAAATATATTCTCCTCTCATCAGACATGAATGTAAAAGAAATTCGATATCTTTTTAGAAGGCGCCTACAAAGAGTCCAATTTTATATAAGAATTACATATATTTTTAGATATTGGAAAGGCTTTGATATTTACCGAGGTTGGCTCCTTAAGGAAAGAAAATATCATTGATAAAAAATTGGAAAATTACGCACGTTTAGCAAGAGCTTCTCACGGGTAATTTTTAATGATTGAAATAAAATTTTAAAAACATTTTTGGGGATCTCAATAGTCAATAATTTTTAAAATATAATTCCCATCCACAAGAATTCGTTCTATGGGCTCAGCTGCGTTAAATTTATGTGCAATTGCCAGTGGTCAGGGCGATGGAGGATTTGAATTTGGTATTCACATATGGGACATTGCTGCTGGTGTATTGATAGTTACAGAAGCTGGAGGTGTGATAATGGATCCTAAAGGTTTTATCATTACAATTATAAAACGTTTAAATTAACCTAAAATGATAAGCATTTCATTTTAATTTATATAATAAATTTTTTAAAGGTGGTGATTTAGATTTACTTTCAAGAAAATTTTTAGCTGCAGGAACAAAAGAATTAGCTGATACTATATCATCAAAAATAACACCAATCCAGTTTGAAAGTGATTAATGTTATTTAAACACATATTAGTCATAATTATTCAATATTCTTTATTTAGTAAAATTTGTAAAAGATTTTTATATAATGTACCACTAAACAATAATATTTTTGTACAAATATCAAATAACTAAATATATACATAAAGCATCAATAGAAAACTAGTAGAGTATTTAGTATGGTCTTCCCCCTCTTCTTCCTCCACCTCTATCATTGTTTCTACAATTAAAAAAGTGTGTAAATATATAAAAGGTTTTATCTTGGTAAAATGATAAAAGTAAATCTTAAATTAGATTAAAATAAAATATTGGGAAAAATATACTGAGCTATAAGATACTAGTAATTTATAAAGCTTAAGATTGCATATTACATTTTTTTAAATATCTTAAACATGATGGCAAAAAAATCATTAAATATAATCTATAATAGTTTCTTGCTTACATCCCTTATTTATATATTGAAGAGCCGTAAAAATTTTGCCTAAAAATCCTATAATATATATAAATAGGGCAAACTATTATGACATGTAATAACAAGTATGTTATAAGTAGAGATGTATCGAATCTGTTTTTTATTAATCTACCCAGCTAGATCTTATGAAAAAATCTTATTGATCTGTTTCAATATATATTTTCCTTATTAAATTGATAATATCATTTCAATTTTTCTCATGTAGAATAGAGAATCAATTATAATTATAAAAAATATATATTTTCTCTCTTTTGTAACTTATAAGTACTTTGTTTATTAATTAACATTTAAACGAAAATATTTATGTGAATTTTTAAAATACGTTTATACATATATTTACAAAGATCTAAGTGAAGATTAGAATTTGGTATATCTCTAATTTAATTAAAAGTTTATGATCAGGCATATAAATAATAGTAACAAAATGAAAATACCTTCCTCCTCGAAATCCACCACCACCTCCTCTTTTGTCTCCTCCACCAAAACTATTTCTTCCTTTGCCACCATCACCACGAGATTCCTTGGGGCCACTGTCACCACCTCCTTCAGATCTAGGCGTTTTACATCTATTACACTCAGTTCTCCATGCAAAATTTTTATTTTTGCAGCCACTATAATAATAGTATTTTATAGTATTGAGTTAATTTAATAAAAATTATTCTAAATATAAATTGCTTCTATTAAATACTTTTTTAAAACTAATAATGTATTTAAAGAAATTAAATTTTCTCACAAACAATAATTCAATATTAGCCATACCTAAATTAAAATTTAATCTATTATGTTAGGAAGCTAATTTTGTGGCACAGTGGTTTTATAATAAAATATATTCAACTTTTTAGTTTTTTAAATATTTTATAAATTATAATGATTATTTTACAAATTATAATGATTATTTTAAAAATTATAATATCATTTTAAAAATCCAAACTTAAACAAAAAAATAGGAACAAACCACCTAAAATTAAATTGAACTGAGACCATCTACTATACTGAAATAAATTTGTTCAAAAATAGAACTAAACTAAACACCAGAATGGAACTAAATTAATATATTGTAATATAAATATATTTACGAATCAGAGCACTCCCAATCACCATCTCTGCCTCCACTTCCGCCTTTATCTCTTCCTCCTCCTCCACCACCACTTCCACCACGTCTTCTGTCATCACTGAAACGGTCACGCCTATCTTTACCACCGCCTCCGCCTCTACCACCGCCTCCTCTTCCACCACCCCCACCTCCTCCTCTACTTCCTCCCCCACCACGGCTATTTCGATTATTGCCACGACCACTATCTCGATTGTCATCATAACGTTGGTTATCATTCCTTCCATTTCCATCACGATAATCTCCACCATCATTTTGGTAGCCATTATTACCAGGTGGTGGTCCCCCACGAAAGTCTCCAGGAGGATTGAAACCAGGGGGTGGGCCTCTCTGTCTGGGTGGAAAACCGCCTATGGGTCCACCCATTGCAGGTGGAAACATTCCTCCTTGAGGCTGCATCGGCATATAAGGGGGAGGTCCGTTCATAAATGGAGAACCGCCAGGAGGTCCTACTCGTGATTCCTTAGCAGTGGCTACTTCAACTTTGATAGTTTTGTTCCTAAACATTTTTCCTAAAATATGAATGTAAAAATTTGAATTATATTTATTTCAAAGTAAAATGGTTTATTTTAAAAAATGAATATTGATTTATCAATGGTATAAGTTTACCATTAAACCAAGATATAGCAGCATCAACTGTTTGAGGATCGTCAAAAGATACGGTTGCTTCTCCTTTGCTCTTGCCCGTTGCTTTATCACAATATATGTAAACCTTTGGTTTCCTCAATTTTTTATCAATCTACAATTTTACGGATTATTTAGCATAAAATAATGTTATCTAATCAAAAAACCTTAATCACACCAATCGATCCAAAGTGATTTATTAAATCTTGTTCAGTAATACTTTCAGGTAAATTGCTAACAAAGATCGTTTGGTTGTCTAATGTATATATATATTTATTTAATTAGTGAATATATATTTATTCACCTGTCTGGGGCGGAAAATTTCCTCTTGGTTTATTCATCCCTAAAATAAAATTAAACATGAGGATAAAAAACTATATAAATCGCAAGATGGACTCCACATTTATAAAATTATTTCAATAAAAAACGTAATAAAGGCTATTATATTAAAATATGTTTTCCTAAATCAGGTATATCTAAAATGAATTTAGATCTACCATCCCCTGAAACTTATAACTAACATTGGATTTGAGTTTCTTTTCATTCCCATTTCAAAATTTATTTTTTTACTATAAAAATGTTTAATAGATACTAAGATATAATTTAAACTTTTAAATTTTTTTAATATGGACATGGTGCAAAAAATTGAATATTTTCAAAATAATATTATTATATTTATTATACATTATATGAAACGTTTATTTTAAAAATTCATCCCAGCCTAAGTTATATTAAAGATATATTTTTTTAGGCTAAGGTATGTTATATCATTTTATGGCTAATTATGGCCTGTAGGTCTCTGATATCATTGTATAAATAGTACATTAATATATTAAAAATTATATTGCAAAATCTGTATTTTCTTGAAGGCTTAAATTTCCTTGGTTTCCTTGAATATAGGATTTTTTTTAAACCAAGCCTCCATCAATCACACAATAAATAAAATATTTTTCTTGCAGTCCATACTCTTGGATAAATCCTTGCTAAAACATTTTATAGCTGCAATATAATAAATATTGACAATTTCTTCTAAATAATTTGCTTAATTAATTTTCTTAGAAAATCAAATATAAAAAAATACCAAAAATAAAACAAAAAATGGTGCATTGAATTACTGAACTTTTGTTGGTTCCATTCATATTTTCTAGCAACATTATAATGGTATGCCAATGTGAAGGCAAATTTAGTTTTAAAGCTGTTTTCTTCATATAAAAATGTATAATTATCATCATATAAGATTCAAAATTGTCTTCAATGCTGAGATCTTCATCATCCAGATCTAATATATCTGGTCTAAGGATTATGTACTTAGCACTAATTCTTTATAACATTTTATCATTAATTTCTTTATTCCATTGTGAAGCATAAGATAATTCATGTCTAAAACATAGGTGGTGATCATATTTAACTAACAAGAGATTTGATCATAGATCTCACCATTGAAATTCTTGGATTTGAGGTTTTATGAGTCCATAAGGAAATAAAACCCATATATAATTTGGTTCCACAACAATTTATCGCGGCAACAATTTAGCGCGTATTTAATTAAGTTACAATTTATTAATATAAAACTAAAAGATAATTAAATAGAAGTCATTTTGAATATTAGTCCTATTAATTATTTCTTCATATTTTTTGTTCAAAATTCTCAATTTTATTTATTAAATGAGTAATATCAATATAAAATTTAATAATATATAAAAAAAATTAACCTATATTTCTTTGGTGGACCAGTTTACCAAGTTATAAGATTGATTAGTCTTGTTAAAGATTTTAGCCAATCTGATGTAAGCCTGGGCATTTTGCGAATATATGTAAAAAAGGCTTGGGCCTCTATCTCGAATCTATTATTTTCTTAGAATCTTAATCGACAGTTTTTAAAAATCCACCCCACAGGTAGTTTAGCAGTTTCAAAAAAATTCTAATAATTATTTAAAATTATTGATAAGGGATAAACACAAGGAAGTCTAATGCTAGAGGTTGGCATTTCCCAATGATATCCAACGATTATATTAATTTAGAAAAAAATTATAGGACAATTTTCCTAGTATAAAATAATCAAAAACGGATTAATGCACAATTTTATTTATTTATAAGAAAATATAAATATACTAATTAAAATAAAATAATTAAAGTTTAAAAAAATTACCCCCCCCCCCATAATAAATATAATAAGAATAAACAAATTTATTATAAATCTTAAATCCTTTTTTCCCCGCCTAATTTTAGAACAAAGAAAAATAAATACAATATTAATTTTCTTATTTTGTAAGAGCAATCATTATTTATCTCAATAAATAAAAGTTTATAATATAAATTTTATAGTCTAAAACATAGAATCCAAATCTCCTTTTTCTTATTTTTTTCCCCTACCTTTAAACAAATTAATAAATAGAATTATATTATATTTTCTCCTTTTCTTAATTTTAAATTCTAAAAAGTTTGTAGAAAATTTTTGTATTTTCATCTCCTTCCATAATTTAATCTATTTCTTTCCTTAATTTAATCATTATAAATTAAGAATTCCTAATTAAAGGGTAAATATTAATAATCTTATTTTGGTATATCATTTATAATTTTTTATATTCTAGTTTACTTTTATTTTAAAGAGTGCCTTTAAATTATGTTAGTGAACATGGATCAAAACCTAAACTTGCTCATGATCGATGCATATTAAAGAAAGAGAAAAAAATAAATAAAAAAACAAGTCTTATAAAATATTGGAAGATAGACCTGTCCATTGCAAATGGCGGTGCCATGCATCAAATGAAGAAATTACCTTTTGTTGATCTCTTATCAATAATTTTAAATAATCATTTTTTAGATCAACATTAGTTTTGTAAAACAACCCAATTTGGATCTATTTTTAAAAACCACTGATTAAGATTTTTAAAAATAATATGTAAGATTCGAGATAGATGTCCAAATCTTTCTATTTATGCACAAAATCTCCTGTCATACATAATATTGGCTAAAATCTTAATGGTCCGTTTAACAACACTAATCAACATACCTTATAACGTGGTAAATTGGTTCAGAAAAGAAATCAGTTGGTTTGCTAATTTTTTGATATTATTCAATTTTTTATTGATACTATGCATTTTGTAGATTTTTGTAAAAAAATAATATGAATAATTAAGACCAACATCTAAAATGACTTCTATTTAATTACCATTTTGTTTTATACTAATAAATTTATAATCGCAACTGTATTAGATACGCGCTGAATTTGACGGTGCACGAATTGACCTGATATCATATAAATTAATAAAACTGTAAGATTAAAAATGTTTTAACTTGTTTCTCGATAAAATTCAAATTTTACAGAAATATATCAGATATAATTGTGAAAAGAATTGTCCATAAATTTTTAATTATATATTATAAATATTAATTTATTATTATAAATAAAAAAGCAAAAATATAAGAATTATACAACCTCATTAATAATTTTTAAATGAGTATTTTAAAATTAAAATCGCACAGCAGCAGTGTCACATGCACATCTATCTATTAAAAATACTCAGTAATCCTATATGAAATATATAACTTTTAGTGTTTTTTCTCTATACAATAGATTTGAGTAATAGATGTTGATGATGCTTTTGTAGTACATTTAGAAAGTTAATTAATCAAGCAAAATACCCTTAAAAATCTTTTGAAATATATATTTCTTAAATTCTTAAGATCTACCCTGCTTAACAAATAAACAAAAAAATGAATGGCAATGTTAATATTTTTTATGCAGCTTTTTAGTGAGGAATATAGCATATAAAATTTTAAATTATCCATAAATTATATGATTCAAAATTGAGACAACAATATTGCAATGGTAAATATCATGATCCTTTTTTGATTTTTTTGATATCTTTTTTTAAATATTTCTATATTTATAACTTTATTTTTTAATATAAACTAGATATATCCTGAATATTTATTTAATATTAATATTAAAAATGATAGGTTTATGGTTTAAAAACGAATATTAAATAAATATAATCATAGACATATAAAATGCATAGACTCTCGTTATTCATTCTGTGAAAATTAAGACAATATGTAAAACTACTTACAAAAGTTTTGAATACTCATCTACCTATCTACTTCCCTATGGGTGTAACGATACCACCTTTTGGAAGCCAATCTGATATTAAATTGATATCGGCCGATTACTCATTCAATACCATATCTAATTTGTCTTATGCTAACATACTCGTTAATTTTTAATGCATACATCTACTCATCAGTCTAGCAAGTATAATTTAACTACCATATAATACTTCATTTAAATATATTATAATGATGAGTTATGGTAAATATATTTAAATCATTTATTTATAACATTATCTAATTACATAATAACTAATAAACAAATATATTATGAAATTTGAAATAAATTTTTTTTTGAATTATCACGTACATCCCTACTACTACCCAAATATTATAATCCAGTCCAAAACCAATTATTTATTTATTTTCACTCATGAGTAAAAAAGTCAATATGAATTTAAACTAACAAAAGAGTAGCAATCATATTCTAACTATGCAACAAGGTTTTTATTTGGTTAAAAACTAAGTTTTTTTAAACTTTTTCCTTGTGTGGTAAATCAAATTGGTACATTCAATTTTTTATGCTTTACATTTTAAAAAATTGGACCAATTTGTTTTATATATTTATTGGCAAAATAAATTATATTATTTTTAAAATAATGATTATTTAATAAAGCTTATAATAATTTTAAATCTTTCTTTCTTTAATTAAAAATCAAGCTTATTCTTAAGTATCATTTCTCTTGTTAAGAATTAATAGATAATAAATCAACTGAATTTTAGAAGTTATCTCAAGCATTAACTAATATAATTCTTTGATTAATAAAATAAATTGTGTAGGTTAGGTACTTAAAAAAAATTCAAAATAAAATTAGGCACTTAAACCAATTTAAGAAAAAATTGATACAATTCTTACTAAAGATCTGCAAAAGATCTTTTTCAACCCAACACATAAGGGGAAGGTTTTCTAAACTATATTTTATATTAAATTTATGACCATAAAATTAATTTCATATTCCCAACCCATAACCAAAAAATTAATTCTAAAATTAATTTATAAGTATATTAAAACAAAATTGTAAAATACAATCAAATCATAATATTGATATTCAAAACAATTAAAAAATTTTACATTCTGACCCAATACAATCTGAAAATGTACCAATCCATCTAGTAATAAAAAATATTCCAAATTTGCCAATCAAATATAAAAGTCAGATTAGTGGACTTTTGGGTTGGGTTGAGTTTTGCAGATCTCTAATCTCAATAAAGTAAATATTTTATTATAAGATATATATAAATTTAGACCAAGTTTTATAAAAATAGTAGAATGCATAAATGTTAGGGAATATTAACTCATATATTGAATACACTATATACACAAATGAATACCTTCATTAAATCGCATTCTGTTATCATTGGCTGAGTTTTGGCTTTGATTTTTCAAAATATTATATTAAGCATTGTGTATATTAATATTTTATAAACAAGGTAGTACACGCTCAAGCTCCTTCCTATATCAATATTTATTAAATTATATATCTTTAGTCATGGAATATTAACCATACACTTCACTGATTTTAACACCTTTATATACTATAAGTATTTTTGTCAGGTTTTTCAAACCTGTAAATAACTGATTATTGTTTATAATATGAAAACTTTATTGTTATAGAGGAAAATACCTTTATAAAAAATTTGAACAGTATGACCTACAATAGCCAATACATAAAGTATTTATAAAAAGTCATAACAACCCCACTAAGCTAAAAATGCTAAGATTCATTGAAGGGTATACATAGCATTCCAATGAAAGAACATAAATTATTCATCCTAAAATTAGGAATGAATATCCAATCAACATGTTCTTAGGTTTAAATTTCAAATATTTTATTAATATTAAATAAATAAATACCATTTGTTTTGCCTATATCTCTTATTTAATGTTGATTACAAATCTGCTTTCATCATAATAGTGTTTGATTATGGATTTTATTTCAGCAAAAGTGCACATCATTGAAATATATTATATTTCTTACAAAATGAAAATTTAATATAATTTTTATAATTTCCAAATAGATGATAAAGGTTATGAAATTAGCTTATTTTCCCATAAACTAAAACCCTTTTAGTAGTGTTGTAAGAAAGTCAGATTAAGGTCAATTTTTAAAAATGGCCCTAAGATTATAACCAAAATAATTTGTGAAAGCCTGGTGATTTTGCATATAGATGGCAGAAGTTTAGGCTTCTACTTGCCAAATCTTGAGGTTCTCACAATATTATTTTGACTAAAATCTTAATCGGGTCATTTTTATAAATCAACCTAAATAAAGCATATTAATAACACTATTTTATAGACTCTAACCTACACATTTTGTATCTCTTTCAAGATTTTGAATATTACCAGAATATACTATAAATAAACTAGAAGTACCTTTATGAACATGTTACCTATAAATTTTAGATTTCTGTTCAAGATTTTGAATAAATGTTACCAAAAATATACTTTTTACTTCAATTTAAAAAAATTTTAACATTTTTTTCTTTACTCATATGTGTATAGCATATATAATATGCTTTCATTTTATTTTAGATAAACTGATAAATATTTCTTGGTTATTTATTTTTATAAATGCCATTATCAATTTAAACAATGCATTTTAGACAAGCACACAATAACTGCTCAATTTTTAAATACTATAATACTGTCATTAATTATTGTACAAATAAAGAGAGAGTAAGCAAGGCATATCAACTACATCATTTAGAACTGCTTTCACATCTTTACCATTTGTATTAAATTGCCTATATAATTAGGTGTCTTTGGAAGTTGAAATTCCCATATTTATAAATAGTATAAACTAGAGATCTGCAAAATAATTGGTTGGGCCGGGCCTATATTTTTAAAAAAATTTCGGGTTGGGCCTGATTGGACCTTGGAAATTTTATTAAATATATCTAAATTTATCAATTTTATATAGAATTTTTTATGTAAAATAAAAATTTTTGATTTAATTTATTGAAACTAAATGCTTATAAATGTCTTTTATTTTAAGTAATTATAAAAATTAATTTCTATATTTAAATAAATTCGGACATGGCCAAGCTGGTATATTTTCAAAAAAATTTCAGGTTCTGGCTGGGCCGCTAAAACTTTGTTAAAAAAATTTCAGGCCAGGCTGAGCTTAAAAAAGTAGGCCCAATGCAGATCACTAGTATAAACATTATTATAACCATTTCTATCTAACATTATATTTATTATAAAAATGAGAAAAATGGACAGAACATGATATATTCCAGGAAACTAAGATTTTAGAAAATGAATGGAACATTCAAAAATATAGCAAAATTTTTAAATATAATATAATATTCAATAACAATATTATAAATCATTAGTTAGAATTATTATAAACATTTTTTAAATAAAATGTATTGTTTATAAAAAAATCAGGCTCGATGAGAACATTTAATAAGAACTTTGAGTAAAGGTCTGGAACAGAAACAGAATAGTATATTTTGGAGCCTTCCTGTCTAGATCATTTTTAAAAATCAAATGAATAAATGCTTATTTCACTATCATTATATATTATAAATAAAAAAATTAGTCCTATAGCTAAGCCTATATAATTTTCCTAAATTGAATATTAATAATCATCACATAAAATAACAATACAATACAAACAATGAATATAGACCATGAATATATTGCAAACAAATTTTGGAATAAAAATTTTAAAAAATATTAAACTATTTTATTTCTCTTTTTTGTATTATTAATAAACATCATCCAAATATCGCTTATGGTAAAATCAAGATTGTCAGAAAACATAAATATAATATATAAGGAAATCAAATATATCAAAGTAATGCTCAATTCATATTAATGGTTAAAAAAGATTAATGCATAAAATGTGCTGATTTAAAAAAATATGTATCAAATTAGATATTTTTCAAGAAATGGTCTCAGAATGGAACTTTTTAGCCAGAACAGTATATGAATACAAAAATGCTAGTGTTCCATTATATAAATATAAACTGGGTAGTAAGTTTTGCTTTGTTTCAATATATGTCAATTAAAGTTATAAAAAAAAGTGTTATGCAACAAGGATATAAGAATAAAATCATTTCAAAAAAATTAATATTAAAAATCTCCAATTAGAATAAATTCCTAAGCTAATCTAATAATTCACTAATTAAAATTAAATTGTTTCTGACAATTATTCTATAATCAGTGTTTAGATTGGTTGAAATAATAATGTTTGTTTTAATTTACAATTCTCTATTCTACTCTTTCAGCTTTTTCTTTTTCTAGTCCATTTACATGAATACTATAAGACAGCTATTTTTGGCTTGGATTAAGAAACACCTATTGCCATATATTTGCTTCTTAAACAATAATGTTGTATACTGATTTTCATTATATTATTTTCAATTAAGTCAGAATGTTCTTGAAAATCCAGATAAATTTTAAAATAAAGATTATTTCCTGTAAATGTTTCTTTAAATATAGGCACTTTTAATCAGAAAACTAAATCTGTTATGATTTCTGAGTTGTTACATTTTAATCAGCTATATTAATATTTATCTTCAAGATTGAGAATTATTTCATTTTTAAAAAAATATATATTGATATTCTTTAAATATATTACAAATTTATACTTTATTTATGTGATTTAAGTATGCAGTCTGTAATTTGGGCATACTCAGCATTATGTTCCAACTTCTATATTATTAAAAAAGGGGGGAGGCCTATTCAAAACACTTTTGGCAAAAAGTAAAATTTTAAATTTAATAATTTTAAAGTCTATTCTATCAATAATAATCAGCTTCAATATCGATATATATTTTTTAATAAAAATATGTTTAAAACATTATTACATTTTAATTTATAGTTAGACACCTTTATTGTTATACTTTAGCTATTATAGATCATACTGTATAAATTATTTTGATATTATATTTTTTTTAAAATTATCAATAACATATAAACATAAAGTGTTTACTTAAATGGCATATTTCCCATAAAACTATCTGGCTGATTCATAAAATTTGCTATTTAATAATTATAATTTGAAATTCATAAAATTAGTTACTTGGTCCAAAATTTCCAAACATAGGATCAGGAGCCATTTGACCCAATGGAGGACGAAATTGGGAAAAATTAGAATTTGGAAAATTTTGAGGTGGAAATTGATTAGGAGGAAAACCGCCTGGCATATTTCCTTGAGGTGGTGGAGGTCCTTGATTGCCTAGGTTATAATTAAGTTAATAATCATATATATGTGATGTGTACCAAATTGTTTTGGCGGATATGGTGGCATCATTTGAAAATTCTGTGGTGGAAAATTTTGCATATTGGGCCCACCAATATTTGGAGATGGTTCTACCATGCCTGGAAAACTATATTATTATTTTATACGTTTTTTTAATAAATATCGTATAATAACTTAGTATTTTGAAAGTTCATCTAGATAAAACTAGTCATAAATATAAAATGGATATATTTAAATCACGTGATATAAACAAATAATACATAATAATAAATTTAGGTGTATGAAATTGATTTGGCTTAAATTAAACTTTTTATTAATATTACCAGATTGGAATATATTAAAAACAATTCTAATTATGAAATTATTAATATTAAAATAGTGTTCTTGTAATTATAATAAATTATCTTTCAAAAAATTTTATCGGTTTGATTTTTATTTTCAAAATAAAAATAAAGTTTTCAAGTAAAAAATAAAATAGTTTGTACTAATCCTTTTTGTAATTTAAATGGCATTTTGTAGACATAATAAAAGATTTAATAATAATATTCAAATAAAATATAATAAGATGAATGAAATTTTAGAATATATTCTCCAAAAATTTGTTTAATCTATGTGATCCTTTTTAAGCTTAGTTAGCTATTAAAAATTTGAATCCATTTACAGGAGCTTTTTAGAAATTAGATCATAAGCTGAATTCTTCAACCAAATACAGTCGAATATTCTTTTATGTAGTGTTGTTAAAAAGCCCAATTTGGGTCGTTTTTAAAAAACGGCCCAATTAAGATTATAGTCAAAATAATATTTTGTAAGCCTTAAGATTTGTCAAGTAGAATCCCAAACTTTTCTTCATCTATGAGCAAAATACCAGACTTCATGGGTGTCACGTCACTAGCCTTTAAAATCTCATGGGGCTCAACTAAAAATATATTTATAGAGGACTTCCCCATACCCCTTATTTTTCCGGCATTCGGCCCGCTTTCTGTTATGCGACCTCGTTTATTATATTATAATTTTTTTTAATTGAAATTTGCAAATAGATTCTGAATTTCATATTTTGCTATTTATGAGGCATACAAATATTGAAAGTAAAATAATACAAGACATTTCTAAAGATATTATTTTTTAATACAAAATATTTAGCCATTTCTTACAAATTAAATAGTTTCGATTGCGGATATAAAAAAAATTAACGTCTAAGGGATTAAAAAAGGTTAATTAATTAATACATTGCCTCAATTGATAATGGTTTTTAAAAACCACACAGGGCAATATATTCTTAGCATCTAATATAACGTTGTGCTACTATTTTAGACAATGTTTTAAAGAATGTACTAAAAAGGAAAAATTTGAAAACCTAACCAAATCAATAATTCTCCAAGAAGTTAATATAAACGATTAAACCAAATCATAAAACTATATGGTGGTTAGAGCTTCCTGAAAGCTAGTTAAGTAGTCGAGAAAATTATTTTGAGTTATATAATTTCTAAAAGATATCTTCCATTTTGATATATAAACGACTAGACAGCTGACCATTATTGCTTATCTAAATAATGCAATCAAATACTCTCAGCAGCAAGCGTAATAATCTTAAATAACATAGCCACACAAATAATATTTGTTGGCTAATTCGCAGTCAAAGCCAGGACACTCACAAGGTAAACTCATATCAGAATTTATTATGTTAGATAAATTGATAAAACAAAAAAACTAATAAATTTTAGAATAAATAATTATGCAAAAATATTGAAGCCTTGAGTTATTTATGTGGTAAGGATGCTATATTAAAAGAAATGAATCATTTAGTAACTAGAAAATAAGGACAATGATATGCTAAACGCAATTAAGATTTTATATATTATTGTCGCACCACATCTAGTTGGTATATGTGTCTTAAAATATTAGTAGTTTCTAATAATAACAAAATATTTACGTAACTGTTTTTCACTAAAAAAAATAGCTTTCCTAAAATCATGTAAAAGAAGAGAAGGAAAAAAAAGATATCTAATAAGAATTACATCCATTGTGGGATGAATAATAGGATGTTTAATTTTTTAATAATATTTTTTGTTAAAAATAAATAAAAGGCATTAAAGAATTGAATGCAAATTGTAACTTATATTTATTAACATGTAATAAAGTTTATTAGAATATTATCTCTAATACTAGTAGATAGCCCGTCATATTACATCCATTGTGGGATGAATAATAGGATGTTTAATTTTTTAATAATATTTTTTGTTAAAAATAAATAAAAGGCATTAAAGAATTGAATGCAAATTGTAACTTATATTTATTAACAAAAGCACTGTAATAAAGTTTATTAGAATATTATCTCTAATACTAGTAGATAGCCCGTGAAAAATGACGGCGAATGAGAATTTATTTCTTACTTTTATGCTAGATGTTACCTGTTATTTGAAAATAATATCCAATTTTTATTCTTTTTACCTCATGCCCCTTCAGGCCGGGTTCAATCCATTAAAACTAAGTGTAAATACTATTGTTTGAGTAAGAATAAATTTAAAGCTTTTACTTGATAATACCAATATTATTTATTAAATATTACTGATCACTTATACCTAATATTTAATATTAAAAAAAATTCCCAGGCAAAGTAAAAAGCCATAATAATTTTGAAAAATTCTTCCAAGCCCAATGAAAGATCATAATAATTTTGGTAGTTGAGAACTGAAATAAAATTCACAATGAAAAAAATACAATCAAAATCAGATTTTCATGGGCCTTGGTGTTTTAGGCCAATGTCTGACCCATAATTAATAGTAAAAAAATTATCAAGCGTCCAAGCTCATAATAATTTTGAAAAATTTTCCCCAAGCCCAGCCCAATATAAAAATATTTTCCAAGCCCAGCCCAACCCATAATAATTTTATAAAAAAATTATTATAAAACCTGGCCAACCCATAGTAATTTTTAAAATTTTTTCCCAAACCTGAAGATAGGTAAATCTCTTAAAACCATATCTATTTTTTATTCTATTTTAACCCAGCTCACCCCGACCAAGTCCAACCCATTAAGATACTATTTTTTTGAATAAAAATATATTTTAATTAGCTTTTATCTGAAGGCCATATATATTCTGTGTTAAATATTACACCTATGCCTAATATTAAAAAAATTCCCAAGCCAGGTCCTCGCACTTGAGAAAATTTCCTCAAAATCGCCAATGACCATAATAATTTTGATAGTTGAGAACTGAAATAAAATATATATAAAAAGTCACAATGCATTTAAAAATACAGTCAGAATATGAAAGTTGCATGAGCCTTGGTTTTTGATCAGGCCTTGCCATGTCCTCAAAAGAAATTTTCAGGCTAATTTCTAGCCCATATTTAAAATTAAATAATTTACAGGAATCTAAGACTATAATAATTATGAAAAATGTTTCTCAAGCTATGTCCAAGTCCATAATAATGGTGAAAAATATTTCCCAAGTCCAGAAAAACCCAAAATAATTTATTTTTTCTTTGGATCCAGAAAAATAGGTCTGATGTATGGGGTTTATAAGAATTAAATCTGTCTAATATGTTCATACTTTTTTGCCATTTTATATGGAAAATTTTTCAAAATCATCAAATGAAGGGTAAATATCTGATTTACCTATCATTCTACTGGTTAGCTCCTGGTATTTATATGAAATTCATTATATATAAGACTAAATACTATGGTTTGAGTAAGAATAAATTTAAGGCTTTTACTTGATAATACCAATATGTTAAATTTACTGATCATTTATACCTAATATTTAATATTTAAAAAAATTATCAGGTAAGGTACAAGCTCATAATAATTTTCCCCAAGCCCAGCCCAATATAATTTATAAAAATATTTTCCAGGCCCAGTCCAACTTATAATAAATTTTATAAAAAATTTTCTCAAGCCTGGCCAACCCATAGTAATTTTCAAAAATTTTTTCCAAACCTGGAGATAGGTAAATTTCTAAAAACCATATCTATTTTTTATTCTAACTTAACCCAGCTCACCCCCAGACCAAGGCCAACCCATTTAGACTAAGAGTGAATACTATTTTTTTGAATAAAAATAATATTTAAATTAGCTTTTACCTGAGGGCCATATAAATTGATATTACACCTATGCCTAATATTAAAAAAATTCCCAAACCAGATCCACGCACTTATAAAATTTTCTTAAACCTGCCAAAGACCATAATAATTTTGGTAGTTGAGAACTGAAATAAAATATATAAAAAGTCACAATGCATTTAAAAATACAATCAGAATATGAAAGTTGCATGGGCCTTGGTTTGTGATCAGGCCTGGCCATGTCTTCAAATATTTTCAGGCCAATTTCTAGCCCATATTTAAAATTAAAAAATTTTTTGAAAAATGTTTAGCAAGCTATGTCCAAGTCCAAATTAATTGTGAAGAATATTTACCATGCCCAGGAAAACTCAGAATAATTAATTTTTTCCTTGGATCCTGAAAAATAGTAAGGGGTTTATAAGAATTAAATTTGTCTAATATATGTATATATTAATTGATAAAATTTTTCAAAATTATCATCAAATGAATGGGAAATATCTGTACCTATCATTATATGAAATTTATGAATACATATTAAAGTACCATGCTGAAAATATGTTCATCCTAATTTAAATTTTAAACAAACCATCACCTTTATGATTTATTATTTAGTTACAAATTATCAAATTAAATTTAAGAAATTGATATTAAATTACAATAGAAAAAATAAAAAGATATTTTAAGTCATCAAATAATAGGTTAACTACAAATCATAGTCAAATTATATATAAGTAAAACAAAAATGTTATACATTTCATCAAAAATGTTATAATAAGTTAATACATTCTACAATTATGAAGTTATGAAAAAATATACAACACTATATTATAATAGATTGAATTATTTAATGGTAGTTGAAGTATTAGTAAGTGGACAATTTTTACAAAATTATTTAATTCTTTATTTTTTCCTTCAAAATATTATGCTAATAATCTCTGCAATTTCTCTTGGAATATCTATCAATTTTCTCTACCATACAATAAATATATTACAATAACTCAGATCCTAACATTAAAAGGTGCTGGAAAATAAGGATCTACTATATGTCAAACAATATATATGGTTAAAAGAAAATATTGATGCAAAATGTTATTAATTTTTGAAAATTTTAAGGATTTTTTTAAAACATTTTGGACGCAGCTTAAAATAAAATTTTAGTTAATTATTATTCAATACTTAAAATTATAAAAATAAAATTTGGTATCTATTCTATCTCCATTGGAATAATAA